TCCGCCATATCTCTTGGTTTGTGTTGACAACCGCTCTTTGCAGGTTGCTATCACGCACCGGTACCTCCGGTATCGTGCATATCACTACTTGTACCTTAGGAGAAGTGGTGCGCATGTCATCGACGCCTTTCGCCAGTGTGGTTGCTTGTCCTGCTGTATCTTCATTTAAGACATCGTTTAAACCGGCTGAAATTATCACGAGGTTTCGTCTATCAGCTGTAGTTTTGAGTTTTGCGCTCGCTTGCCTCATGACTGCTTCAAGCTTGCGTCCTGGGAACGCCCCTACTGCAACCCTCTTGTCACCTCTTACCCTCTCTTTGATGGCTTCTGTGCATCGATTTAAATTCGAGTCCCCGGCGATTATCACATGTTGTGACTTTTCAGCTTGAGCGTCCTGCACCTGGGGGCTACTTGCACCTGTGACGCCGGCTGCTTTGTCCCCTCCCAGCCCCACCACTACCTCGCTGAAGCTGGGCCTTGCGACAATTGAACCAGCTGAACCTGTTTTTATAGGTTATACACACACAACGCCATCTAGGGACCAACTCTTGAAACTAACGAGAAGTGGCTACATACTACCACTACTAGTACTACGGAGAAGGTAACGACCCATACGCTAAAGAGTTTCACCTCTAAAACGTGAGACAACCTCTTTATAGATGTTTTGTGTAAATACTATTTGGTTTGAAAAGACTCGGCTGTGGGTCACAAATGCGTATTTTGCCCTGTTGTAACCGATTATGAGTAAGAACGCGTACGTCGCTCCTTTTAAAAAATCGTGGTGCTAGCGCAGACGAGTATTCTAAAGTACAGAATATCGAGACGCCGAGTGTTCTTTGCAATGTGAACAGAAATGCACAATAGAGACATCGTGTAAGTGCCTCACTGCGTATATGCTACTACTACAGACAGATTTTATAGCAGCAGTTCATCTTCGTAATTAGTGAGCTCTGGTCCCAAAGTGACAGAAGGCGTCCTTCCAACCACTATGTGGTCCCCTCTGCCTGGTTCAATTGATTGTTCATTAAAAAGACGTCAAATGATACTTCGAGAATTTATGGGTTCAGAAAACTGAGTGTTTTCGACAACGTAATTCTATTTTACCAGACGAAGACATGCATGAAACATCAAGGAAAGAAAATTGTCAGACTCGTGAAAATACAGCGAGATCAGCCATTTGATAGAGTTACTGGTTTCCCTGTGGAAGGTTAAGGGAAATAACATTGCATGTAAAGAAAACAGAACAAGAAATGTAAAAAGAGGAAGCAGTGCAAAGCAGAATCCGTAACGGCTTAAAGTCCGTTTTTAAAACTGGGTATCTGTAAAACACAACATAACGCGTTTAATGCCTTCTGTGCTGGAGAAGTAGAGGGTTAATAAAAAAAAAGTAGGAATCGAATGCCAGGTTTCTGTATTTCGGAATGTTTTGTGGCAGCATGTTATTTATGCATTGTATGCTTGAGAAACTGCGATAGTCCTATCAGCTTGTAAGCAGATGTTATAAATAAACTTGGCACATGCGCTCATGGTCATCGACTCGTCACCTCAGTCATTGGATGTATTATAAGCTTCCTGTGTACCAATTATCTCGCATTTGCGGTGCCAGCAATTTTCGCTTTTGTTCCTACCCATCAGCTGTTTGCCTGGTGTGACATATGTGAGAAGTGTGTCACGCTTGCCGCAAATTTTCTTCCGCTTCGCTGAAACTCTACAATTTGAGGAGGCTCCGTAAGTAGTATAGCTCTAACTTTTTGCACACATTATTTAGTTCAATTTTCGCCTTCTCTTTCTATTTATGCTATTCCTGACACTCTAAAAAATGTGGCTTAATTTTTTTCCTGCCTTTTACACGACCATATTTTCACCAATTTTGCAGCAGGGAAGCTAAAGTATTGACCGAACGAAAAATACAGTTTTCAGAGAAAAAGCACATCAAGAGTAATTTAAATTGCGGTAGCATTCATATGTTACTTCAGCAGTCAGTTTCAACGTCTTGAAAGATGTCAAGAGCAATTATATGACCTATATTTCATAATAGTAAAAATACAAACGGCGTTCTTTATTTTTATATATGTCTAACGCCAAGAAATAGATATGTTTACATTTCATTACAGTTTTAAAAGTACAAGGTCCAGAGGCACCATCTAGTCGAAGGTCAATCGTTCAACAGCGGCTGGAGAAGTTCCAGTACTAACGGAATTTCCAAACATCTCGCGCTACTATAATTTGGCAGATCCCGTGCATTGTGAGCGACTGTGAAATGCGAAACAGTCAGTGAGGAGCAGTATTCACCGCTTTGTTTGATATAAAAGGAATGATGTGGTACCATCCTATGCCCTATCTCATATTTCTCCTGCTCATTGCACGCGCAATCTGGTGTTTAGTAGGGTAATGAAACAGATATTAGAGTATACTCAATAACGTCCGGTCATTTATCTCCGGCTAATATCACGTCGATGCTAGCAGTATGTGTCAGTTATATAAAGTAACGGCAACGGATTGGTAAGGACAGATAGATAGATAGATAGATAGATAGATAGATAGATAGATAGATAGATAGATAGATAGATAGATAGGTAGATAGATAGATAGATAGATAGATAGATAGATAGATGATAGATAGATAGATAGATGAATAGATAGATAGATAGATAGATAGATAGATAGATAGATAGATAGATAGATAGATAGATAGATAGATAGATAGATAGATAGATAGATAGATAGATAGATAGATAGATAGATAGATAGATAGATAGATAGATAGATAGATAGATAGATAGATAGATAGATAGATAGATAGATAGATAGATAGATAGATAGATAGATAGATAGATAGATAGATAGATAGATAGATAGATAGATAGATAGATAGATAGATAGATAGATAGATAGATAGATAGATAGATAGATAGATAGATAGATAGATAGATAGATGTGCTGAGGGTGGTTGGAGTCAACCGAGGAAGGATTCGCATTTCAAATTGTGTTGTACAATTCATTCGTAATAATCTTGCCTAATTAATTATACAGCTTCAAAAAGTAATATCTTAGCTTTTTACTCTACACTTATTGCTACGTTAAATATGTCCCAGCTATCACAACACTCATCACAACAGTGCGCCGACCGCGCTGCAAATGACAACAGTTGGACGTCACCTATGAATAACCATAGTGATGTAAAATCAGCGTCAAATGAACGCGAACAGTGGCAAGCATTCATGAGGATGTATACACATATAGTGCTCACCATTCACTTTTCAATACGGACAGATACGCACATATGCGCAATGCTGCCAAACAGGATGCGCGCGCTCGTCAATGGTGATAACAGGATGGTGTGCACTATGGACAGTTTTGTGCCCTATGGACTGTCACGTTCGAACAAGTGGCCTAATGGCCTCCTTTCCACTTTCCTTTTGTTGCCGACGACCGGCCGATTCGCCACCGTCACTCCCGGATTGAACGCCAGCAAACCGGGCGCAGCGGACATTTGTTGACATGGCAGACAGTGCGGTGAGCAGTGGTGTTTCACATACTCTCTCGTCGTCGCCCGGCAGCTTACTGGGTTCAGCAAACTGCTCACGAGACATAAGGGAGTTTTAGAATAGCGCACCGCGAGCCCTTGCAGTGCGGTCGCTGCCACTGCGCATGCGTCGTAACGTGAGTCGGCGTTCGCGTTCGCGGACCGCACGCAAAAAATCTGAAATTGCGTGCGGTAATGGCGGCCCGCATGTGGCCCGCAAGCGCTGGTTTCGAGGCTACCGTGTCGCTGCGATCGTGCGTTGCGATTCACAGCAGGTCAAACGCTATTCTAAAACTCATATGGCGCCCGCTACGCCCGCAACGCCCGCAGCGCTTGCAAACAGTATTCTAAAACTCCCTATATATTCTTGCTACGCTCGCCTGCGCCCGCATAATCCGTGCCACCCGCTTCTCGCCATAGGCTGCAGGGCAACGTGCGCGAGGAGAAGGCCGTTGTGCTTCGGTGCGGTGGCGCCATCTTCTTTTGCTTAGAAAAACTAGCTGCGGAAAATTGTTTATACCATCGCGAAGGCTTCTCGCTGTTTGGGTTTCATTTGACGCTGATAGTACAACTTAGCGGAAGGAATCCCTGTAGAATCGCGACGTATATTGTTGGCGCATGACCTGTACCTCTGCTGATTGCGGTAACGCTGTCTCGGGCAACAAAAAGAAAGCGAACTAGCTGCTTTCAGTGCGCTTAAGGGCGTTGCTTTAATTTGCGAGTGGCAGCAGTCACGTGTTCTCTATCGTATTTCACTGGTTCTCTTTATTAACAGAAAAAATGAACATGCAATTATTAATCCATGCAAAGAAGCACAGACAATTGTCGTTTCGGCGTGCCACCCTCGGCCTCACTAGCATTTTGTGATGAAAAAATTACTCCTCTAGAGGTACGAATTTATTGTTGACTAATTAAAGAATTTTCTTTAGAGACAGAAACAGTAGTAGCTACTGTAGTATACTGGGAACAGTGTGCCCAATGTCTGCTTTTTAAAACAACGTCCACCTTTTTTTTTCAATCAGGCTGCGCGATAGGTAAGACACCATGTGAACTATCCAGCATTGCGTATACTAAACGTTATTGGTTTAAATAGATTAGATGTTATGATATACTCACTTTTCTGACATTCATTATTGGATGCCTCTCTCTCAAATTGGTTACAATTCAATGCGTGGGGACCTGGTTTTGAACATCAGAAATAATCGTCCCTAAAACATCACTAGATTAATGTAATGAACAAAGTTTATAGACCAAACTGCACCGATAAGACGGTGCCTACAATATGTTATAAAGTTGCTTTTCTTAGTTTCCTGTGTCATCTGGGGTTCTATTTACGGCTTTTAAAAGAACACATAAAAATTATTTAGCATAACATGAGTAGTGAAACTGCACAAAATAGTTTACAGCAGCGTCTACACGCGTATTACTTTTTTTATTGACCTATTTTCAGCTGGTGAACTGATGGTATGCACCAATGAATCTTGAGAGCTACAAACACGTCGACGGCGTCTCTTTGCATGGATGGAGCCACGAAGACATTATACGCTCGGCACTTTCTTACAAGCCTCGCTCGGACGACATTTTCATAGCGACGTATCCGAAGTCTGCCACAACGTGGATGCAATACGTCATTCTCAGCATTCTTGGCGAAGGCAGCGTGCAGAAAACATTCGCAGACTATATGCTGACTTCGCCGTACTTGGAATTCTGCGGTGAAGAGGGTGTCGAGAAGATGCCCAGACCTGGTCTAATCAAGACTCACCTGCCTTTTCACAAGGCACCGTACTCGCCGGAAGCCAAGTACGTTTGCGTCGCCAGGAACGTGTACGACGTTTGCGTATCCTATTACTACCACACGCGAGGCCTTACTCCCATCAGCGTGAAGGATGTCTCGTTTGCCACGTTCCACGAAATGTTCACGACCGGCAAACTGTCCCACGGTGACTACTTCGACCACGTGCTATCCTGGTACGAACGTCGCGACAACCTCAACGTACTGTTTTTCACGTACGAAGATGTGAAAAAAGATCACCAATTGTGGGTCTTGAACATAGCGAAATTTCTCGGAGAAAATTATGCGCAAGCGCTCAGAAAAGACCCTGAACTACTCCGCAAAGTTGTGAACGCTTCGAGCTTAAGCAACATGAAGCAGATCTTCGCTGAAAAAATCAGCGCTTCGGTAATGAATTTGCTCAATCTACCATCTGAGAAATCTTTGAAGTCACTGCAGGTGTACCGTGACATCTGGCCGCATATGGGAGAGTTGCATCAGAACGAAGACTTTGTCCGGAAAGGTGTCATCGGTGACTGGAAGGAACACTTCACTCCAGAGTTGATTGAAAAAACAAAAGCTTGTTTCAGAGAAAGACCATAGGGTCTGATGTGATGCAGCATTGGAAGGAAATTGAATTGCCGTAGTTGTACAAGCAAAGTAAAGGTGTACTCTCTTCTTTTATTGCTTCAATTAAAGTGACATTTTCCAAATCCATTTGCGCAAATACGGGCTGAAGGGTAAGCAAGCTCTATCGGTTTATTCTCGACTGTTCTATCAAATGCCCCCTCCCCTCCCTGCGAAAGCCTTTAAAGCCTAACACGTATTGCCTCATGAATAGGATTACTTTTTAACATGTGACAGTGTGTAGGGAAGACGTCATAATGTGCCGTCACATCGACATTATGACGCCGTCACATACTTCTCGCATCGGTGACAACGTCATGCTGAAAATTTTTCCATGACTCGTGTTGGTTCCGAAGCTCACTTTTTATGTTAGATGGGAAATCTCGGTACCCGCCTTTTTATAGCAGGTAGTGCAATTTCAATTAAAAATGAAACAAATAGTGAATATCCCTACCAGGGACGTTTGTTTGCTATGGTGATCGTCTTATTTGAAATACGTAATCCTTTCTAAATGCTCAAGACGATTTATTCACAACTTTTTGCTTAGTGAAAAATTTTATGAGCTTTGATGCCGTTATTCGCGTGAACGAATGGTTGCTATGGAAGGCTATCTAAGCGAAATACGAGTCCAGAAGGTGTTTTCGCAACCTTATTGGGGGCACCATGTCTATAAACATATAAACTGTAAGTGTTCTGAAACCTTCATAGCAGATGGGTATATACCAACTTCAGTACACTACTACGGCGGTAAACATAGCCATAATAATTTTTAACTGCGTCGACTAACACATACAAACACAGCCAAAACAGTGAGAGCTGTCCTCACATTATGCTTCAAGCGCGTGCACAACCACGGCACCCTAAAGGGCTATGAGTATCAGTGAAATATATTTACTAAAAGGTGAAGCGTAATAGTAAACGCTGCAATGCGATTGTTAAAATCTCCAAAATGTCGAAAGACGAAAAGAAGTTTTTATATTAAAACAAGCTCTAACTCAATAGTTCAATTTGAACAAGCCTCGCTGCCCGCATCAACTTTTCCTAATACTTTTCTGGCCAAACTAGACCAATTATATGGGAAGTAAATGAAGTAGCACGCGAATTCGCAAAAGGTTGTTCATGTAAATAATGTCAATAACATTGTGGTCCAGTTTTGCAGCGGCGCTTTAGCTGTAAGCTTTGTTGTCAGTTCAAAGGCGATGAATAACACCGCGTTCAACTGACCTGAGGTCCTAGTCCTATTTTATACACGTTTCGTTACTTTTGAACCTATGACGTTATGAGGATGTCGTAACACGACGGTATTTTTGCATCACTCTCGCCGATCAGTTTTCTAATGATCATTGATAATTTTTCGAGTTTTATGGGGCTTTTAGCGTTTTAGGATGAGGCATTTAGAGTTTTGGACGGGCCAATGTTGGTTAACTTAGGGTTCTCACCTGAAAAATTTTTGTTGACTCACAGACCGATCATCTAATGGAGTCATGAACAGTAATAGTGAGGCAGAGTTGTATAGAAGCTGGTCAATGGTTTTTATGTACTTGATATAGTGGTCAACATATCTTGTGTTTGACATATTAGCGAAGTGTCATCTCATCAGAGTGCACCACAATAGCAGGCAGAAAAAGACCTAGTTTTGGCGCTTACTTCTTTGTGGAAACTCTAGAAGTGCCCCTTGTTAGGGATCAGCGGATTACACGTTTCTTATCCTTATTTCGAGATGATAATAATACGTGGAAAACTCCATAGAGCATAGACAATTATAGGACAATCGACAATTTATGGTGGTTTTGGGACGTTAAACCCCACAAATCAATCAATCAATCAATCGACAATTATAGGAGAAGAAGAGGAGGACGTGAACTGGTACCACCTCCGAACACCTTATTGCCCAATCATCAACCTCATCCTGCTAATAAACATAGTTACCTTGGCCGCAACAGTATTAACGCATACAAGAGCCCATGCAGCATATCCAATTGTAGCATGTTGTTCGCGCTCTCACGCAAAAAAAAAAAGCTTTCTTCCTCTTGTTTTCCGAGTGCAGGCAAAATCATGGATAAAAATATAAAAGGAAGAAGCAAAGTAAAAATAAAGAGACGAACAAATAGAAAAACTATGAAGAGAATGGAAGTGGGCAAATACACAAAAAATAACACAAAAGAAACTGCAAAATATAATAAGAAATAAAAGAAAACCGAATAGAAACACAAAGGGCTACGCAGCTGAGCTCTTCTTCAGGGCTCGGTACCACACTGTGAAGCTACCTAAATTTTTTATTCTGCTATTTTCTCTAAAATATTTGAAGAGTAAGTTGACTAAAATTTTACCTAAATTCGCTTGATGTGCATCTCAATTTAAGAACTATTTTTAGAGCTGATCAGTTGCTATATTCACGAACTTTATTTGTGGTAAGTGCTTTTTTTTATCATTATTCATCTTTTTGGAATACTGATATGTGCGGTATCCTGATATTTCGAAATAGTCCCCAACTGACACTATTCTCGTAATACATCTTTTGTATCGATGTGATCATAATTAAAATTTGTGAAAAATAAGAAGCACGCAACTACTCCTAACGTTAAACCTTATGGGCAGTCCAAGGAGAGCTAATTTGGATTAATTGCAAAAAAAGTCTATATAGTATGCTCTAGCGCTATCAATCAGCGTCCCACTCAAATGGTAGAACGACCTACACAAAAATGCGCTCGTTTTGGGTTCGGTTCTTGGGTCAGGATTATTTTTTCCACAACTATGAAAGATATTTTCCGAAATCCTGAGGTCTTCCCTTGTAGCCTTGCGCAACCTACAGATAGTTATCAGCTTTGGCTTTGATAACGTTTTCACCACTTTTCAAATTTACTTTGCCGCATATAATTTATGCCTTACTCATTGGTGTCCCCTTGTATATGACCGACCCATTGTTCATATGAATGTTGAACGTGATCATTCAGCACGCAGCTTCCTCTGTGGTACGTAAGATGATTATTTTCTATGTCACCAATGTGTCGTTAGGGAGAGCTGAAGTTAGGGATGATGCACCTCTGCATTTATGGAATCTCTTTTTCTCCACAACTTCATGAACTCCAGCCCCTCCATGGTCTCCACGATTCTCTGTTTCATCAGTAGAATCTGCTCCTGCGAGAACTGATTACTCCAGTCTTTTACTTACCTCTTGCGAACAACGTCACCTGCCCTAGGTACCTTCGTTAACGTCACTAAATTAATGATGATTGGTGTTGTTTATTATCGCAAGAACTATTTATTGTTGACGTGGTGACGAGTGTCAATAATTAATATGTTATGTGGCTGTAGAGGGGCCTTAAATTCTTCGCCCTAAAGGCGAGTGAAACATATAGGTAATCGATTCATGAGAGTGGCATGTAATGTGTGCAGTGAAAATTAGTGGCAGAAGGTTTTGATACATTAAACTTCTGAAGAGGCGGTATAATCGTGGATACCTCGTGAAACGCCCTTGACTCCTAGAGCCATGAGACAGGGGCTTTTTGTGATGCAGGTTCCGCAGCAGTGATCTCCCTTCAGAGATCGTGCTGTGGCTTACCAGGCCAAGTCACGTGAAAATATTTAACAACTTTTGAAAAAGTTAAGCGCGCATAAAGTTTGAAAAGCTGATCCCTACTGATGAACATCTCTAGATGGAGTGGCATTTGCTCTTAGTAGGGTTAGCGGAAATGTTTTTTTTTTTCTTATAGGATCTAGTTCACCATATTGTATAATATTTTGACAGAAAGTTCGCACAAGGTTGGATCACCATCCGACAAAAGATGTGCATTTGTGCTGTGTGTGTGACCTATTCATAAAGTGGCCCCGCTGCGGTCTAGTGGCTAAGGTACTCGGCTACTTACCCGAAGGTCGCGGCTTGGAATCCCGGCTGCGGCGGCTGCATTTTCGATGGAGGCGAAAATGCTGTATGCCCATGTGCTCAGATTAGGGTGCACGTTAAGGAACCCCAGGTAACCAGGTTTGCGGAGCCCTCCTCTACGGCGTCTCTCGTAATCATATGGTGGGTTTGGGACGTGAAACCCCACATATCAATCAAATATATAGGCTGGTAAGTGTTAATTGTGTACGGATACTGCTGGCCAGTTTTGAAGGTTCGACTTCATGTTATGTAGCCTATATTGTGTTTATGTGTCCCACAAACGCCGCCAATACGCTCACAGTTTTATTCTTGCCAGGGGTTTCGTCTAATTGGTTTCCACGGCGGGCTTGTTGGTTTTTCATAGTGTCTGAGGTATAGCGCATCCAGGACGGGACACAGAAGAAGACACATACCACATACACATATGTGTTATGTTTTATGTGTGCCCTCAGACACTAGAGGTTTTGTGTCTAGCGCAGCGAAAGCTACGGAAGTATCAGCAGCGCTTTCATTGGCTGATGCAGCAAGCTGGTTCACAAATACAATTCTCTTTATTTCGCGGTGGCCTGGCACCCAACAGAGCACGACATGCTGTTTGGGTATGCAGACTATGCATAAGAGCGAGTAAAGTGTTGTTTTTTTTTAGTTTTCAGCATTTTTACCACACTGCGGGAGCCAGTGTATGTTACTGCCTCTTGGACTTTTGATTCTTTCATGCGTTTGACTACCGTGAGCATCGCATAAGTCTCTGGGGTAAAGATGTTTGTATTCGGATGCTTCGGCACCGGCATTCGAAAAGACTGGGCCAATTGCAGCGTAGAACGCATAAGTGTAAATTTGGAGGCATGAGTGCAGAATTCTGGACAAGTGTATATGTGCTGCGATTCGCGAAAAATATGTATATATACGTGCAATGTGCGCATGTTTCGTAACTTCCACGAGAAGCGTGTCATAATGTATATGCCGGTACTGCCGCAGCAGCAGTTGCATTTCAGGGGGAATGAGGCGTTGGAGCAGCGGGACCTTTCTCTCTTCGGCCAACTCCCTAACGCGCAGTGAGACAGGGCGCGCCATTTTGGGTCGATTTCGAAAAAGTTGAGCACTGGACATGTCGTTGATGTTGGAATATGTGAGCTGCTCATTCTTCACATTTAGGAAATTCCTGAAAAAATAGTACGTTTTCTGCAGCTGGAGCGACCACTTATTCGAATCTACATAAAGGCTCTTGATTGGGCTTGTTTTGAAGGAACTTTTGGAAATGCGGATGCCTAGATGATGAACAGGGTCAAACATTTTCAGAGAGGTTCAAGTGGCTGAATGATAGACAAATGATGTCATTCATTGGCAGATCTGGAGCACTTCCGGTAATACTTTCTTCTGCTCCGTGCGGAGCATGTCTATTTCATTGGCGGATTTAGAGTGCTCCCTGTATGTTCCGTTGACTGATCTGGAGCAGCTCCGTCGCAAAATCCACTCGGCGGAGCAACCTTTTCTACTGCGTGAAGATTGGCGGATTCGACCTGAAGTCGCAAGTGCCCCGTGCCTTGAAACGGTGCCAAGTTTGGGCGCACCAACGGACGCTGGTCACGTCACTTGCGCCTCGCGTCGGAGGTCACGTTTTGCTAGCGTAGCATCGCTGTGTGCAGCGTGCCCACTGAAGAACGAAGAGAGCCGTGTGCATCGCGTTTCATTCTGACGCTGCCATTTGCTCCAGAGGGAGCGCGTGTCTTCCATTGGTAGATTCCCTTGCTTTGCGCTCCGCCCCGGCGCAGAGTTTGTGGGTCACTGCGAATCTGCCAATGTATGACGCCGTGTGGCCTAGTAGTTAAGGCGTGAACGTACACCTTGACTTGTGCAAGTTGATACATACTCGAATAGGCTTCAGCGTGATTTAGACTTGGTCTGTGTTCTGTGTTTATCCTTGGTTGTCGTCTGAATTGCGCTGAAGCCTATTCGTGAACGCAGAAGGCATTTATGCAGATTCGTGATGCACTTTCCTTCGCTTTCTCAGTACGTGTGTGAGAGTACCTTGAGGATATTCATTTTTCATGCATTTCAAAGGAGTTGAGTTTCTTACAACTTGTTGAATAAAGAATCGATTTAAAGACTTGTTTCAGCGTAAAGTCCCCTGTATATGGTGATGAGAAAAATTTTTACCAAACACAGTTTATTGTTCGGCGTTGTTTGCAGTACTTAGTTACCAATGTGATTGACTAAAACTGTCATCATCACCGCGGTTCAAACCACACGTGTCATTCATATCGTTGTGGTGAAATTTACCCGAGGCGATGCAGAGCTTCGGTTGGCAGGAGGAATCAGTGCTATTTATAGCTTAACGGTACTTGTTACTAACGAAATATAACGCAATGATTATTGCACGCGGTAATGAACAGATTTATCAACAAAAGAAATTACCTGCGCATGCAATCTCGCATACTCGTAAAAGCAAACCCAAACATGAGTGCTGCGTGTGTAATGCGTTACCACAGACATATGTGGCAATTACCACTCATAAAGAGGAGCTCCCGTAACATTATGTATACAACAGTACTCAACGTCTCTTCACAACCGCATCAGGTTATAAGTATTAGCAACGCGAGTCGGAGGCGAACACAGCGAAACGCTTGAAGCAACTGCTTCAACCTGGCACGGGTAGCGGGGACGCGTAGTTCGAGCGCGAGTTCTTGGACTGTAGATTCAGGCACAGCTGCAAGGTAGGCAACCGACAGTGGTTCTACAACAGACTGATCAAGCTACAACTTCAGCAGCAAGATCAGCAAGGCAACCATCTCTTGGCTCGACGCTTTACGGACAACAAGGCCGCCATACTCCCAGAGGAAACGCAACCTTGAACTTAATGTTTATTATGATTACATAAAGAGCAACTTGAACGGCAGCATTTTACGGGAGTTTAAGATAACCCATTATCTGCTTCGCATGCTATTCAAGGTTCGGGTTGCGGGAGATGTGTAGAATTTTTCACTACAACGCTTGCTATTTCTGTTACTCTTGTTGCTGCTGCCGTGGCTGTAGTTCTTTATTCCGGCTACGCTATCTGCGCTTTGATCACAGTTGGCTATTTTACAATGAAAGCCGTTATGAGATCAAAACTCCGGTCACGCGCGGCGTCGTAGTTGTCCGCCACCGCCGCCGGTGCCCGTAACAACATCGTGCGAAATTTGTAAAAAACCTTGTACCAATCACACAGTGGGCTTGAACCCGGTCTGCTGGGTGCCAGCCCAGTATTCTACCACTGAGCCACACAGTGCTTGGGACTTCTTGGCAAACTTGTAGTAGGTGAACTTGATCTCGAGAAAGCAATCTTGTCATACGGCTTATGAAGCGTTTTAAAACAGCGAAAAAACAACCAGACATCGCACAATGTGAATAGCGTAACGAGTGGGTTGTCCAATGCTCTAACACGTTCACCTATTTGGCACATACCCACTTCAGGCATAATTCTTTATCGTCGTCAGCCACTTCATGAACAATTGGCACAAAATTTCTTGCAAGTGTTTAGCGGATACCAGGCTTCTCAGAAAAATGACGAAAAATAGCATAGCGAATGCCGGCCTACTACCCTAAAATTTTTATTATTGCCTTAGGGGGTATCAAGCAAGTGTACTTACAGTAGTTACCCAATGAGTGTTTTCAAGAGGTTCTGAAAGGCCGCTTTTTTAACGTTCGCTGTGACTGGGCTGCGCCGTCTTCGCAGGCCTGGCGTTTTTTCAATATTTTCAACCCGTCCGAACCCGGCTGTTGCCGAAATAATACTCTTACGCCATATATATGCCTGGATGAGGAGAGGAAAAAGAACAGTGGAGGTTGAAAGATGATATCTCGGTCACGGTCAGAGATTTTATACCCCAAATGCCTACTGTGATGGTAACAACGTCCATGGTTAGCATGATTATCTCGAAATTTCACCAGCTCTTACCACTGTGCTCTATCTATCGATCGTACAATGACACAACGGCAAGATAAGAATTTTCGTCTAATCGCTCTCCAAAACCACCTAAAATTTTTTCTACCAATCATTCGGTCATTTGCACACCACTTTAGATGCAATTTCACTAAATTCCAATAAAATTGTATTTTCGTGCTTCCTCATTCCGAACCCAGTTTCCAAGCTTATCAGCTACTTTCCTAACAATTCGTGAAACGCATACACTCACTGAAACAAAGTACCTCTCTGGTTGACAGAGTAGTGTTACGAGACAGAATTTTTTAGACATGTTGTGTCGGAGAAAGAAACCACTGTCGAGCGACACCGTCGAATTCTAAACGAGGAACAGTAGACCTAAGTAAGTGATTTGAGTGTATGTCACCTTAATAAACACTTTATTATCATCATTACCATCGCTATCTAATCTAAATGACAGTAAACACTTAGGCTGCGTTATAGCTGGATATTCCAGTACAATACAATTAATAGAGAAATATTGAACATCTATGGATAGAAAGAAAACGAAATACCCGAAAGTACCATAAACCCATGCAGTATTTACAATTCAACCATCAAATTCGTCTTGTTGCATCTTTCTTTTATTTCTCGTAAATATAATAATTTTAACTTGTTATTAGGGAAGAACTTCATGAAAATGATCCGGTTATTGGTCAATCCCCCAGTGTGGGTATGCGCCACATCGTCAAGAATCTTAACTTGCCTTGAGTAGCCAAGGTACAAACAACGTCTTTGTACGTAGACACTGAAAC